AATAGATCGGGAATAAATATTCATGGAGGGATGGAGAGAGGTAGCAAAGAAGAAAGAACCAGAAGAGAACAGGCACTGGAAATAAAGAGGATTTAGAACAGTGTCATTGGGCTTATGAGGATCGATGCTGGATGACAGATGAAAAATAGGACAGAGGACATGGGACAAGATGGTTCCAGAAAACACATTGACAACCCTGCCTCCGTTTCACCCAATCCTTAGACTTGGAAATACAGGTGCCTGCCCTGGCCCCTGTGGGTAAGCGATGCCAGCCCACTGGTGATGGAATAAGGACCCCCAGGGGCCGCCCCAGCAACTGAGGCAATTGCTGCTATGTAAGAGGAGGACTAGCACTGCCTAATCTGGATCTTAAAGAAAATGCTTGAAATACAAATGGCCAAAGCAAAGCCTCCCGTGGGGCACGCCTGGCCATTGGAGGTCTGTGTGCTGTGATGAGGCTTATCACCTCTCCCTTCTGTGCAGCCAATGTAAAGGCAGCAGGAACAGGAGGTTTCCTAGGGGACAGACAAGGCCTCCCAGCCCCACTTTGTCCCGAGGGGATGGACTAGGTGGAGACTCTCTACTGACAGTGACTACAAGTGTGCATGAGAAACCTCCACCTGCTGCTGTGAATCGCACATGCTGATATATCAGAAGGACGTGTTCAAGCCAGAGCAGCCTTCTCTATGGAAGCCTGCAGGCTACCTCAGACGCAGCTCCTACCAGGAGAAAGGGCAACAGCTGTGAGTGCAGCTGGGATCCTTTTAAGGGCTCTGATAGCAAAAACTGGCTATTCTCACCTTAACAGAAAGACTTAAAAAAACTTAAAAACAAAGTGTTTTTTCTCATCCACTCATCTTTGCACATTATAGCAATTTCCAAGTGATTTTGGATATGAAATATAGCCTTGTTTCCCTGCTGTCTCCTCTCTGATTTATATACTAGATTTTAGAATGAGATTCAATCATCTACCAATGCCCTTTGTCCTCTTGTCTTTCCAGAAAGATGTGTTTTTTGTTTTGTTTATGGGTGTGGGTACCGGGGTTTGGCTTTATCACTCAAGGCTGACACATAGATCAACTTCTGAATTCTTGGTGGTCAATTGGAGATAAGAGTCTCAACAGACTTTCTTGCCATTGCTGGCTACAAACTGCAATCCTCAGATCTCAGCCTCCTGAGTAGCTAGGATTACAGGGGTGAGCCACCAGGGCTCAGTGTGTGCTGGACTTTTTATCATCCGCTTTATAATCGAGCCCTATGGACCATAAATGTTTACCTTTGTTCTACCAGGTGACACTTCCTCGGACTTCTTCGAACTAAGTGTATGATTGGCAAAAGTGATGGAGGAATTTAAGTCGTTCCATATAGAGCAAGCCAGGCATGGGCAAAAGGAAGAGAGACAATACTGTCTTCTACTAGGTCCTGGAGACTGAATAAGGTTTTTTGACACACCCCTTGCCATAATGGGAGAACAAATCAAGACTATTCCATCCATCACCACCATGTTCTTGTCTTTCCTAAAGACTTCTAGGTAGCCAACTAAGAAGGCCAGTGATTCCATCTAGTCTTCCTTTTTTGAACATGACCTGGGAAAGAAGTATGCTTTATTTTTTAATTTGCAATATACATGGCAATATCAATTCCCCCCAAACTCCTCAGTCAGCACTATAGCCTCCACCATGGCCCTTGCTGGCCATGGGGGCAGAGAGGCTTGCGAGCGCAAACAGCCTCCAGCTCACCAGAGTTCAACTTAGCACTTTTTCACTTGCTGATTGTGCACATTTGGTAGAACCAATACTTCCAGTTTCCAGGTTTGAGCCTTTCTTGGGCTGGTTTGACCTCCCTCTTAATGGCCTGGCAAAAGCCCAGGCAGCCTCAAAAATCATGACAAGAAACAACCCACACTGCAGAGTGCTGTGATGTTAATCTGGGAGGCTCAGGAGAGTAGGTGGATTTAATCTATATTCTACTTCGGGTCTTTTCAACCTTTGACATGTTTAGTCAGATGTGGCCCCATTGTGGAGCATTAGCAGCTATAGTTAAGCTGCTTCGTTCATTCCACTGAGAATGGGAAAAAAGGAAAAACCAGAAGTCATTCTGTTTTTTCTGGTTTCTGGAAAACTCCTTAACATCATTGGGAAATGACCCCCATTCAACTCCTGGTGTTATAATCAGTTGCAAAATGAGTTTGGTTAAATTCAGAGCTTTCTTATTGTTATGATTATAGGACCCTGCAGGGTCCCAGCCCCCTTTATGCCTTCTTACCCACCCACCCTATGCTGGGTGGCACAGCTGCACTAAAACTTACCTTGGAGAAAATGGATGGTCCTAGAACAAATCATGTTAAGTGAAGTAAGCCAAGCTTAGAAAGACAGAGTATAGCACTGGGAAGGTGGCTCGGTGGTAGAGCGCTTGCCTTGCATGTCTAAGGCCCTGGGTTTGATTCCTCAGCACCACATAAGCAAAAAAGAAAAAAGCCGGAAGTGGTGCTGTGGCTCAAGTGGTAGAGCACTAGCCTTGAGCTGAAGAGCTGAGGGATAGCGCCCAGACCCAGAGTTCAGCCCCACAACCGGACCCAAAAAAAAAAAAAAAAGAGTATATTTGGAAGCTACATCTAATATAGACTGGAAGATGGTAAAATATATAGGACTTAGGCGTTCACACAGTGAGACCAAAGAAGGGTATTCTTAGTGGAAGAACACTAAGGTACAATATCTGTATGCACAAAATATATATCAAAATGAACTCCAGGAATTGGAAACCAGAGGTTTTTCTTTGTTACTATTTCTGTTTATTCTTTTTGTCTTGTTTGTTCATCGATCTGTCTTTGTGAGAGTAAGTACGGGGGCACAGAAATGGAGGGACAAAGGGCAAACAAATGCAGCAATGGTACTCACTAGATATGATGTTGAAAATAAACTACACGACTTGTAGGTAAGGATAGGAGGGAAAATATGGACAAGAGGCAGGGAAGGGGTGACATTATCTAAAAAGAAATGTAAGTAACTATTACCCCTCTGTACATCACCTTTATCATAACAATTTAAATTTGGAGAGGAAGGAGCAGCAGCCTGAGGCTGCCTAGGAGCATTGGCCCCAGGGCTGGCCCTGGGCAGGTGCTGTGGAGACCCAGAGTCACACCATGTTACAGTTTTGCCACCCATATTCTACATTTAGGCGGGACCATTCAGAGCTAAGCAGCACAGAATGCATACATTGCAACGCGAATGCATTTACTCATTCAGCGATCAGTCACACATGGCTTTAGTTGTTACATGCAAGTGCTTAGCTGGATGCCATAGCTGTGGCCAGATCCCTCCACCCATCCATCCATCACCTCTCTAAATTCATCTAGCCTCTGCCCCCCTTTATGGATTTCCACCCAGCCTCCCTGAATGATCCCGACATATTCCTGCCTCTGGATATTTGCACCCGATTTCCCTGACAGAAAAGTTTTCCCCTAGGTATTCAAGTGGCTTGCAGTCTTCCTTCCCTTGGGTCTGTGCTCACTAGGTCACTGCCTCAGGACTGAGCCTCCATTACCCTCTCCTTCCCCAACACTTACCCCCCCCCCCCCACCCGTCCTCCTCCAATCACAGTTTATTCTAAGTGTCCCAGGACCTAGCATGCTATGTATTGCTCAGTCATCTCAGGAACAGAAGCTCCCTGGTGGCAGGGATGATGTCTACTTCAGTCCCTGCCCTGCTTCCACCAGTAGCCAGTATGGAATAAGCAATATGGAAATTAAGGGCGGATGAGCAAGGTAGGCAACGAACTTGGAAATTTAGGTCATATTCCATTCAAGTGACTAGCGGATGGCCAAGAACCCAAACACAGATCAGCACAGATTTTGCCATTATATTCACCTTCTACTAACTCCATGGTCCTTCAGAGTTTTTATTCTTTGCTTAAAGGATAAAAGGTCTCACCTGCATGGGGCACCATTTTTTTCCTCCTGTGTGCACATGTGTGGTATCCATGAACAATACCCAGAGCGGCAGACTCCCATCCACAAATGAAGCCCACATAATCAAAGTGACTTAGACCCCAGAGAAGTTAACTTCCCTGTTGCAAGACATCTAGCATTCAAATAAAGTGAAAGTTAAAATACTAGCACTGCACCGGTGGCTCACGCCTGCAATCCTCGCTACTTAGGAGGCTGAGATCTGAGGATCACAGTTCAAAGCCAGCCTGGGCAAGTCTGTGAGACTCTTATCTCCAATAAACCACTAGAAAACCAGAAGTGGTGCTGTGGCTCAAGCTGTAGAGCGCTTGCCTTGAGCTGAAGAGCTGAGGGATAGCGCCCAAGCCCAGAGTTCAAGCCCCAGGACGGACCAAAACAAAAAACACTAGTCACTGTTCTTGGTAATTTCAAGAAGACATCCAATTTTTAGCTATTGCCTATGAATAATGAATAGTAAAATGGTTCTTTGTGTAAAATGGCATTTATTCAGTTTTTAGTGAAAAGTTAGCAAAAAGAAACACCAAAAGAGAGCTTCCCTGAGAGATTCAATTAAGCATTGGGCACAACGGTGCAAAGCCCATGTTGCAACACTGAGGTGGCCTGTTTTTCTGGTCATTATTAATCCAGAAACCTTAATGATGAGCAACATTTGCGTTATTGTCTCCCCAAATTTAATTTGTTATGCAGCAGTTCAGTTAATCCTGCAATCTGTTTTTCTCAAACGAGGGCAGATAATGGAGACACCGTTCTTTACAAATCTTCAGGCTTTTAAATTCTGATAAAATCAGGATTCTTCACTGGGTCTTGCCCCAGCTCTGAATTAAACCACTTTAAATGTAATTACAGAACCTGGCCTTACATCAGGAACATCCATTTAAAAAATTGATTGGCTAGCCTGTTCCACGAGGCATTTTATGAGCAAACGATTGCAATGGGGCCAGAACTGTAATTTATCAAGGCAAAAAAAGCAGGTAAATACTTTATTAGTGGTAATGAGAGGGTTGCCATCTAACTGAATCTCTTCTTCCCTCACCAGCTACTTCACGGAGTCGTGGTGCCTGGCCCTATTCCACGATCGTTTTATTGATCTCAGGAAAGAGTTACGCCAAATCTTAGTCTCCAAGGAGGTATGAGTAATTAATGGATATGTGGATTATTTCTTGCAAATTATAAGCAGTTGATAAGCTATTGATCATTTGGACTTCCCTCTACATTTCCATTTTATGGTTTTACTTTATAAACCAATGGTACTTAGTGTTATCAGTCTATGGAGAATATAAGCTTGGATGGTGATATTTCAGAAAAGTGATTTTCCTTAAATTTGATGAGAAGGACCTTTCCTTTCCTTTTTTTTTTTTCCTTTTTCTTTTTACAGGTAAGCTCTGTTTTTTGTGATTAGCTACCATTGATGGCTGAAACTTGGGTAGGAGTTGTATTTTGTTGCCCTCAAGAATGACTATCACATTCCTTCGGTTTCTGTCTATACTGGACAGCCATTCACTGAATACTTCAAAAACTATGAAGAAGCCAGGCACCAAGGCTCATGCCTATATCCTAGTGACTCAGGAAGCTGAGACTTTGAGGATCAAAGTTTGAAGCCAAACCAGGCAGAAAAGTCTTTGGGAATCTACCGCCAAAATAACTATCAAAAAGCTAAGCTGGAAGCATGGCTCAAGTGGTAGAGCACCAGCCTAGCAAACACAGTACCACCAAAATATAAAAAGTTTTAAAAATGTAAAGAGAAGTCATCCAGAGGGCCAAAACTCCTTTTATAAATGAAACTTCTTAAAGTGATACAGAATCAGCTGCAAGTCAGAATGTATCCCAAAGGCTCCATACTGAGACAGAAGTTTGACAGTGCTGTATAAATAAGGAGGCATTAGTGAAAGTTTAAATTATGTCTAACAATATTCCTTAGCTGAGCTGTGAAAAGTTAGTATCTGTGCCTCGAGAGATGTAGATGATCCATCCTGGCTCTGCCTTGAATCACGCAAACAAGGGCTGGGGCTTTGGTGAGTTTCCACTTCATTTCACTGAATAAAGGGGCAATTCCTATGTCCCCATTGTCCCCTCCAGTGGAGAGCAGGCACAATCTTGTAGATTCTGTGGTGGAGGCTGACACATTGAGGATCTCAGGTAGAGATCCCAAACTCAGTCCTCACTACATGTCAGCTCCAGCACCACCTCAGTAGAATAGAATTCTCTGAGGTGGATGGAGCCACCACCATGATCACCTTGACCTTACAAATGAAGAAATTGAAGATGGAAAGATAGACCCTAAGCCATATAGGCCAGAGCAGTCTCAGTGCCTTCACTACAACACCCTACCTTTCCCGTATAGACTCTAGGACCCAAGATGGAAAATGTTAAACAATTTACTAACCCAAAATGGAGATTGGGAAACATAATTTTAAAGTTTAAACCCAGATGACATGCTTTAGGATCAACACCGGTAAAAACCCAGCAGGAGAATATAAACGAGGGAAGAACTTTCATTACAGAATTGAATTTCCTGCTGAGCCTGGAGCCTTTGGGATGTGTACCTAATTTCCAGTTAATTCAGTATCACTGTGAGGAAGAAGCAGAGTGATCAAATGCAAAAGTCAGACACTGCTTAAGTCATTGACACTGAAACACGCATACTTACACCCCTCAAAAAATCAAGTCCCTTTGTAGAATGGTGCATAGCTTTTGCTTAGAACCCACATGCATCTTCTTGCATACTTTACATCATTTATATCTAGATTACTTCTGATGCCCAGTACAATGTCAACACTATGTAAATAGATGTAATGCTGTGTTGTTTAGGGAATAATGACAAGAAAAAAAATCTGTGCATGTTTAGTACAGAAACAGTTTTTTCCCAAAATATTTTTGACCCATGGTTGGTTAAATCTTTAATAGCATAACCTGTAGATATGAAGGTTGTCATTGTTAAAGGTGATACAGATCAGAAAGGTACCTGCACTGGAGGGGCAGAAATCAGTTCTGGTTGAAACCTGAGCCATAACTGTAACCCTGGTGCTTACTGTATTCTGCTCAACTCCTTCGTCACCTCCCTTCCTCTAAAGCTGTGATCTACCTGTACTGCTGACCCTCTCACGCCCCCCATTAGTAAAGATCTATCTCTTTCCTAGTGACCTGTGAAAACTTTTATCTGGCTAGGCCCCAGTGGCTCACTCATGTAATCCTAGCTACTCAGGAGGCAGAGATTTGGGGATCGCTGTTCAAAGCCAGCTTGGGCAGGAAAATCTGTGAGACTCTCATCTCCAATTAACCACCAAAAACCCAAAAGTGGGACTGTTGTAGAGGGCTAGCCTTGAACAAGAAAGCTAAGGGACAGCGTCCTGGCCCTGAGTTCAAGATCTAGGACTGGCACCAATTAATTAATTGATTGATTCTGTCTAAATCCTTTTTAGCTCCAGATCTAAACTCCTCAGGTAGAATTTTACACGCAGAACTAAAGGATTTTAGGATGTACAAAGTGGTTTGTTGTTGCATGAACAAGAACACTATTTCCAGAATATACTAGAAGCCAAAAGGTTTATGAGAACTGTCACTTTACTTTCTGTAATGAAATTTAATTTGCTAATTTTCTAGGGGTTCCAAAGAAGGAAAGAGGGAAGGGCGAGAAGGCAGAGTACAGGGGGCTTGTAGGCAGTGAAACGATCCTGCGTGTGATGCTGATGGATACGTTCTGATGCCCAGTGTACTGTCACTGCTCTGTAAACAGATGTTGTACTAAGTTCTTTAGAGATTCATGTCAACAGCTAGGGGATGCACAGAATACACCCCATTGGAACACTGCAGTTATAGTAATTCATAGTAATAGTGAGGTATAAAGGCCATCAGTTGTTTGAAAAAAAAATTCTTTCCTTGCACCTTTCCAAGTAAACTGCCAAAGCCAATGGGCATACATCAGTTTGGATGGCAGCTTCCAGTTTTATCCATGAGCTGGCATTTGCTGAGGTTAGTTTGCTGTGAATGAGCTCCTTGTGGGCAGGGGCTGTAGTCATCTGCCAGAAGCACAGTGAAGGCTCCCCAAACATTCTCGTGGGTTTTCAAGATTTCTAGAAAGCAAAACCTCCAGAAAGGGAAAAAAAATTCTGATTTCAGCATTGCCACTTGGCACAAGGACAGTCATGTAGCTGTAGCCACGTAGCCCAGGCAGTGTATCTGCCGTGAGTCAAGCTGGACCATCCAGCATGGCTTTGTCAGCTCCCTGGATCCTTGTGGTACCATTTAAGATTCTGGTGACAGGAAAATAAGTGTAGCCTGCACTAAAGAATAGCAATAATTCCTTGGGCAGCAGTGGCTCATGCGTGTAAATCTCAGCTACTCAGGAGGCTGAGATCTGAGGATCATATTTGAAAGCCAACCCAGACAGGAAAATCTATGAAACTCATATCTCTAATTAATCACCAAAAAAATCCAGAAGTGGAGCTATGGCTCAAAGTAGTAAAGCGCTAGCTTGAGCAAAAAAACTCAGGGACTGCACCCAGACCCTAAATTCAAGCCCAGGGACTACCAGACCAGCACAAAAAAAGGGAGGGGGTGATAGCAGGGAAAATCTGGGAGAGAGCAAAGGAAAGAATTGGTCAAAAAGAAATGTACTCATTGCCAAACTTACGAAATGATAACCCCTTTGTATATCACATTAATAAAAAAGCAATAATTCTATAGTTGCTAAGCTACAAAGAAAGCCTACAGAATGGGAAAAGATATTTGCCAACTATACATCTGGGCCTAATATACAAAGAGCTCAAGAAGCTAAACTCAACAACCCAATTGGCAAAAGAGCTAACTAGAAACTTCTCACAACAATAACAAACACATGAATAAATACATAACATCACCGGACATAAAGAAAATACAAATTGAAACAACATAGAAATTTTTATCTCACCCTAGTAAGACTGGACAGCTTCAAGACTACAAACAACAAACACTGGCAAGGATGTGGGGAAAAAGGAATCCTGTCACAATGTTAATGGCCATGTAAACTAGGGCAATCACTTTGGAACACAGTCTGAGGATTCTTTAAAAAAAAAAAAACTAATAGAACTATCCTATGATCCAGCAATACCATTCTGGGCATTGATTCAAAATATTACAAGTCAGGATACAGTAAAGACACTTGCATATACATATTTTAAAATGTTACTAATTTGAGGGATGGATGGGACTGGGAACGATGGATTAAAACAATGATACTGATTAAGATGCGTTGTATTCTGACTTGATCTGAAACCCCTTTGTACAACTTAAAATACTTAAAAGAACAGCAATAGTTCCTTCTATCAAATATTGAGCTAATGTGACCCATTTCACTTTGTTTTCTACCTTGTTTCAGAAAAGCATAGAAATCAAACTATTAGTTGAACTTCCAGAACCTGTAGAGAAAAGAACTAAGAAAGATGGTCATCTGTGGCTATTATTAGAAGTCATTTCTAATCTATGTATCATTTGTTTAAAAACAAACCCTTATTGTAAGACATCTGACATTTCTCTGTAGAGAAGTCAGAGAGGAACAGACTATAATTTTACTGGGATTATCTTTTAGGGCGATTATATTTTAGCTATAAAATATGAATCACTGACCACTGTGACATTTTGTGTGGTTAACACTACCCTTTAAGGAATATAATGACAATTATAAATATATGGACAACTAACAACACTATCCTGAAATATATGAAGCAAAAGTTGACAAATAGTGTGAAGTAAGAATTGAAGGACTGGGATGTAGTTCAATGGCAAAAATGCTTATCTAGCAATTACAATGTGCTGGGTTTGATCTCTAGTACCAAAAAAGAAAAAAAGACCAAAAAGAAAAAAAATGGATATTTTAGTATCCCATCTTCAATAGGATAGCCCCCTGGGTGAGCTTGTAAACTTGTATATATTGGGTAATATACAAACATATTAACTTAAATACAGTAGAACTTAATACAGGAAGAACTTAAATAGTCTAACGCCTTAGAAAGGCAAAGCCCAAGTTCAACAAGTTCGAGCTTTTTTTTGGCCGGTCGTAGGGCCTGAACTCTGGGTCTGGGCACTGTCACTCAGCTCTTCAGCTCAAGGCTAGCGCTCTACCACTTGAGCCACAGCACCACTTCTGGCTTTT